CGCATGCATGTAAGGTAACTACAGCTATGACACATGGGAAATGGAGAGGGAACGAGGGATTGCTGATACTAATATGGAAGGGAGTCTTTTCGCCCGCCGTGGTACGTGACGATTCAGAGTCACAAGAGTGCAACTAATGATGCTCTGGCTCACATTTTCGACAGTCGGGTGGCGAGGGCCGAGGGGGGACACCGGTACATATATTTCATACTTCCTCCATCTTAAAATAACCGTCTTTCATTTAGTACAACTTTGTAAAGTTGTATTCCCTCCGTCTGAAATTACTTGTCACGGATCCATTTTTGCGACAAATAATTCCGGACGGAAGGAGTGCTAAATAAAAGACACATATATGGGATGGAGGGAGTACAATTGAGAGTTTTTGGTGCCTGGAAAAGTGTACGGATCTCTACAGATAGCATGCAGATGATTATTATTCTTGTGTCCAAAGAATAACCAAGAAAACTCCAATGTTTCGTATTTTTTTTTGGCTTTTTTACTGTGTTGCATGTTAGCTAATAGCCAAATATGCTTACATGCAGATGTCTCAGGTTAAACTCTATCGCAATTGTATCATCCTGGAAACAATGCAGTATTGAGTGCCCAAAATTTCATGAACAATGGTAGCAATGCAGTCCTACATATGTTTTCCTTTATTAGGAAATTCGTATGTTCCATTACTTTTTCTTGAAAACGATTCAAAAGACTTGCCATTTGGAACAAAGTGAAAGCTAGCCGCCTAATTAAGTAGAGAAAAACCGGATGAAACTGTTACAAACCCATCCACATTGCCACAATAGATTACAACAGCAGAACAGGGCACCATCGGCCAACCTGAGTGTCGAGAAGGACACCATAAAGTTGTTGGGAAGAAAAGAACCCGCCAAACAAGCAACTTCAACTTCAATGAAGTGCTCAACAACTACACGAAGCCCATGACTGCCCATGCCAACAGTCAGCCACACACGCCAACGAGAGACATCTTCGACTTTGATGCCGATGTTTGCAAGAGAAATGAGCAGGTCTGCGCCAACCGAGCCTTCCGCAATCGATCAACGAGAGCATATGCCATCATAACTGCCTGGACTCACTCCTCTGCAGCTCCGACTCGCTCCACCGTTCCTGTACATGCATGGAAATAATAGGATTGCAATATATGGTCTCTGATGCTCTGATGTACACTCTCTCTCAGAATTTGTTACAGGTTCCACCTAACCTAAATTTAGTTTGGTGGTGTGTTGCTGTCAGATCCCAACTATACATATTCAGCCCGAACATGCACAAACTTCTGCAAGCAACGCCATGCGTACGAACAGGTCAACATGCGTTGGCATATTGGAAGCATCCAACTTAGACACCGGTGATTTTCAAACTCAAAGTGAACTGGTTTATATGCTTGTTTAGGACGACAGCCAACGGCAAACAATAGGTAATGTGCTTAATTAAGTTGTTAGATTAGACTGAGATCGCATTAAGAAGCTAAGTAACGCCAACAAGCTTCGAATAAATGAAAACAAAATGATTATGATGACACGGCTACTCTACCTATACAACATACTGTAGTTGTTGGCCAACTCTAATCCTCCAAAGAGACCCGGCTTAACGAAGCATATGCATGAACCCATTCATGCCAATTTGCCAACAACATGATGACTAGCTAGTTACACAACACACTTATATAGTCCTGTACGTGCTTTAATTACATTTCTGTATATTAGAATGTGTATTTTGTCTTCCCTTTTTCATTTTTGCATGGTTGATCTTCTGACTTGGAGCAAGAGTCAAGGCATCTGGCTAGGGCTTATACACACCCACGAATGCAGCTCACCAAACACACCTCATGGCATAGGAAAATGAGCAGATCTATTTGTGAAATTTTGTGCGAAACCATGCATGTTTGCTTTGGCATTATTGTTGTGGGTGTCACCAATATACTCAGTTCCAAATTAAGGAAGGAGAGAAGAACCTTGTGGTTGTTGCAGCGACAGCGACGGTGTTTTTGCGAGAGGAACCAAATAATGTTTGGCAAGTGCTGTTTGCATTGACCTCTTACCTTTCCACATATGCTTCGAGACTGTTGCCGGCCGTCAGCATTTGATTTAGTCTACGATTGATCAGAACTACTGTATACTATTATGCAACAGCAAGTCCAATCCAAAGGATTACTCTACTGACTCGATCCATGGATGATTTGCTGGTTGCATCATAATAATATTTTGTAGCCCCTGGTTTGGCATTCGTAGCATTGAGAGGCAAAGAGTGAACAAACGACAATGAAAAGAAAAATAGTTGCATGCAGAGCCTAAACACATAAACCATAGACTTTTCTCCTAATTTGTGCTTTATGAGGATTCTCCTGGTGCACATGCTTGCAATTAAAGGTTGGGATTGCCGCATCATGAAGGTTCCAACTTTGTTCTAACATCCTTGAAACTGAAACCCATCTCTACAAGGATTGCCCTTTCATCATTCACATTCTAGCGATAGGCTTTTGCTTCGTCACCTGACACAACCTCCGGGAGCTCGTTATCCCTGTTGTCCCCTGTTGTCTCTAACTAATGCGGGCATGCGGCGACATTCTCAAGACAACGACAAAGATCATAAGGCGTTGAGAAGGTGATCCTCTAATATCATGTATATATTCACATATGAAGACTAAGGGCCTATTCGGTAGTCGTCCCCAGCCTCAAACTCCTCGACTCCTCAGCCCGTAACCAGCTGCTAGCTTCTTGTAGAAATCCTGGAGTTTGAAAACCGTTCGGGACATTAGCTTCTCAATCATTAGCGCTCACATGGGCTGCCAGCCCATTAGGCTTGGATGTAGCCAGGCTTGGTACGAAGAGAGATGGTCTTGCAGCCCAATTAGCTCGTTTTCTCCTCTTGGTACGAAGAGGGGATGGCCTACGAGTCAGGAGGGAGAGAGAGATTACGATTAGTTGCTCGCGAACCAGTACGCAATGTCACTTGGCGGTGGCACAATCATGTAATTCTTTTTAAATCCCGCTTCCCAGTTTCTGCGGAGCCACGTTTTGCCAACTCCATGACTCCTTCGATTTTGCATGCAGTTTCTAACCAGCTTCTCGTTCCAAAAGCCAGGAGTTGACCCGTTCGGCTGGACTCCGGGCTAGAGATGAGGATTTGAGAAGCCAGAGGGCTCCCGAACACACCCTAAATATTCTTTTCTTTTTAAGCATCATAAAATATCTCCTTTTAGACCAGAAATATCGTGTTTTATGCATGCAATTTCTTTTTTGCGGAATTAAATGTGTGTTTGACATGATTTGCAAAGCTCAAACATTTGTTAAGGCGTGTTGGGTAGTAGTCGATGATATTTTCACTACCAGAATTTCTACGATGGTATTCAACAAGAAAAATATTTTGGGCTTGTTGTATTTGTCGCTAATGCAATGGTCAATCTGCGAAGTTGGCCCAAACATTTATATTCTATTTTGCTCGACCTTCGTATAACCCATCTTAATAGTAACACCCATTTTGTCGCTAGATCCGAGCTAACCAGGCAACTCCTCCCATTCCAGCAAAAGGAAATTGAACAGAGACTTACGGTTCCGGCCACCGGAGCAAATCACACCACATGAAGGAGCAGAGAGGCAGATCCAGAAAGGAGGTGAGCAGGAATCATATTGATGGTACTTCAAAATGATGTGGTTAATCATGTCATATCATTTTATTTGTGTTGTATTTATTATATGATAATGTCCAATCTTTATAAGATTTTTCATTTATATGGTTTATGTCTTAGCATGTCATCGTGTATTTAATAATTAATTGTAAATTTCCTATTATTCTTGTTTTTTTTCTTCTAAAATCTATTAAGCAATATGTAATATTATTAACTTTTCCCAAAGAATTGTAGGTTTGTAATTTAATATGAATTATTTATGATGTTCTTGAATTTATTATTTTAATGGGTAATCTTTAATGTGTTTTGACTGTAATGGTTTTTGAATTTTGTGTGCGTGAGAGGGATTTTGCAAAAATCCCACACTGATAATAATAATAATAACGATTTGGCCCATTGAGAGTGGGGGTCCCGTGTACACCTAGGAAAAACCCTCTATTGTTTTGTGCCCTAATGTTTTGTATCATAGAATTAAAACATATCTTTATATGTCATTTTTAACTATTATTAATAGTAACCTTTTATATTGGATCTTATTAACCTTGCTAGTTCGATTGTTATGTAGCAACTCCATAACACATTTTAAGGTCAACACGCCATTTAATACTCCTTTAAGAAAATCCAGTGAGAAAAGTGCTATGCAAAATTACCAAGGACATACTTAAATTGAACTTAGCATACAAGTGTGCCCTCACTACAACTTTCTTTTTAGTAGGCTCGGGATATATTGTAGATATTCATGTGTAAAGATACAATATCTCTTTTTAAGCACCGTAAATATCTCATCGAAGACCGGAACTATCGTGTCAAATGCTGCTTTTCACATGATTTGCTGGGTTGAAATTCGTCAAGGCGCGCTTGCCACCATGAACCGGCCATTAGTATCCGACAATGGTGGAGCCTAACCCTTTGTCGACATGGAATGAAGCATTAACTTTGAATTTTACAAACCCTAAATGCCGGTTTGGTCCACTTTTTGCTCTGTGGGCACCAGAGGAGGCTGATATTTTCGCCAGCAGTATTTTGCAAGAGTATTCAACAGGAAAAAAATATATTGGGGATTTTGTTTTGGACAAAATGTATTGGGGTTTTAGGCGCCGCTCATTTGCCGAACGTTTCCATTTAGCACATGGGCTATAAGAAGGTCAATCTGCGGACGGCCCACTTAGCCGAACATTTCCACTTTATTTTGGTCGGCCTTCTTATAGCCCATCTGATAGTATCAGCCATTTCTCGATAGATCTCCGAGCTGACCAGCCCAACTCCCCCCACTCCGGCAGAAGGCAACAGAGGGTTAGGGTTCCGGCCGCCGGAGCAAATCACACGGAGGAGCAGAGCCAGCAGTCGAGAGAGAAGCGAGATGAGCGGGAGCGCGTTCAACGCCTTCAAGTCGCGCGTGCCGGTGGCGTGGAGCCCGAAGCTGTACATCACGCTTGTGCGCGGGCTGCCCGGGACGCGCAAGCTCCACCGCCGCACCCTGGAGGCCATGCGCCTCCGCCGCTGCCACCGCACCGTCGAGCACCGCACCACGCCCTCCCTCCTTGGCATGCTCACCCAGGTCAAGCGCCTCGTCGTCGTCGAGACCGAGGAGATGTACAACGCGCGGAAGCAGGCCGACGAGCAGCGCCGCGCGCTCAGGCCCCCGCTCGTCGTCTCGCACGCCCCGCCGCCCAAGCCGGCCGCCGCCGCGCCGGAGGGCGCCGGGCAGTAGTCGCCTCCGGTTAGTTCCCACCCCCCGGTGATGCTTCGGTTTGTTTTGCTTTCGCCTGCCCGCCTGCCCGCGCGTCAGGTGTTCGACGCAATGCCTTGGCAGGGTTGGCGTCCTCCTTTATAATAGAAATGCTTTAGCGATCTTTGGCAACTTGAATTGATGGGAATAAGTGAAGAATTTCCTGTGATCGTTCAATTTTACTACTGATTGTTATATTGAAATGTAAGGCCCAAGTCATATCAGTTGATGTTGCGTGATGCTTTGAATGCTGAATATAGATATGCCTGCAATACACGTTGGAAGGACTCTCTAAATGTGGTTCCCATGACCGATGATACTGCAAGCTGTTGTAACTGTTGCAGCTATCTTGATTTTGAGGCCCAGTTTGATAAAAGTTTAAGCAGATTTCATTTATGCACTGTTGGTATGATGGGCAGGTAGGGCTTTTGGCTATACTTTATGCTATACTATTTAGTTTTGGGAGATGCAGCCATCAAGACATGCTTTGCTATTTTCTATAAGTTTGTCTAAAATACATTTTGCACTCTATGTGAAAATTTTCTTATAAATTTTAAATTGATTTTGGCACCCTCATTCGAATACAAAATGATGTAGTAATCTGTGATGTCTTGACTTAATGGGAATAAGTGAAGAATTTCCTGTGAACGTTCAATTTTACGACTACTGATTGTTTTGACATTTTACTGAAATGTAAGGCCAAAGTCTGTTGTAACTGTTGCAGCTGTCTTGTTTTAATGTCCAGTTCGATAAAAGTTTATGCAGACTGGCTGTTAGGTCTTCTGCCTATACTTCATGGCTTTATGCTATATTTTGATTTGGGAAATCCAGCCATGCTTAACAAATTTCAAGAAGTTCATCTAGAATGTGTTTTGCACTATATGTGAAAATTCCCTAGTAAATTTTAGGCCTCCTTTGGTTTGGAGGAATTTTAGAGGATAGGATTCTTATAGGATTTTTTCCTTTAGAGCCCTTTGGTTCATAGGAATGGATTCCTATTCCTACATAGGATTGGTTCCTATCCTCCACATTTCATAGGAAAATAAAAATGAGCCTAGACTCAATGGAAAAATTCCTTTGGTGTCAACCAAATGACATCTCGTTTCCTATTCCTACTCATAGGATTTGAGATACATGTCATCTCATTTCCTACAAAATTCCTATTCCTATGATAATCCTATCCTATGAACCAAAAGAGGCCTTAGATTGCTTTTTGTGCGAGATGTTTGATGTAATGCCTAAAAAATTCTTGGAACACTTGGTGGAGGTGTGGCTTCTGATTCTAAATCTAACTTAGGAGTGTGTTATAGAACGTAGAGTGCCTGTGCTTCTACACAGAAGTAGCTGAATTACATCAGTTAGGTATATTCATCAGCCCCATGACTGATGTAGCTAATCTAACCCGGCTGTAGCAGGAAATTGACACACAACAAAGAAAGCTATTTTATCACCTGCTTATAGTCATCGAACTCTGAATCCCCTTGACATATTGACTGGAATTCAATTGGTTGAAAGTTAGTAGAAGACGACCTCGTAGTGCATGGCTAAGGCTAACTTAACTTGATATTAGATCCACCTTTTTAGTTCTTAGTTTTTCAGCCATGTGTACTTTTGTGAGCTTTTAGCTTGATCAATTCAGATGCTTTCGTGATCTATGTATCTGTAACATCAAAGAAATGGAAGCTTCTATATACTTTCAATTATATAGTGGTTACATCTTAAGTACTGGGAGTATTTGTTGGGAAACATGCTTCCAGGATATTACGTTTCTACCATTTTACTGAATGTTGTTTATACACTGAAGTGAATGACGCTAGATTCTATACGAGATGTCCTAACAGCCAAGTAAATAAACTTATACATGTTATGCTTCTACACTAAAGTAGCAGAATTAGATCTATGAGGTATATTCTTCAGTCCATCACTGGTGTAGCTTATCTAATGAAGCAGGAAATGCACATACAACACACAGAATTATTTCATCACCTGCTCTATTGTCTTTAGCTCTGAATCCCCATGACGTGTTAAGTGGAATTCAATTGGTTGAAAGGTAGATGATATGTCAAGCTCTGATGCGGCCTCACAGTGCATGGCTGACTTAACTTGCTATTCGAGTCCCTCTTAGCTTTTCTGCCATGTGTACTTTTGTGAGCTTTTTTGGTTTGATCAGATGCTTTCATCATCTATGTATCTGTAACATCAAGGAAATGAGAATTTCTCTTGGTTTAGGGACGGTTATGATATAGCTGCTTTAATTCATCTTGCAACTTAAGCAATCTTAGTTGATAAAGGACCCATATTTGCCTGTTGTGAATACTTGGGATCTTGAAGTGCATATATCTAGGAGCCAGTTAAACTGATATCCGCACTCCTTATGTCAGGACCCCGACTCGATGTCACATCGATCTAGCCGGTAACACCTCATATCACTTTGCGGCCTCACGCACGGTATCCCCACGGGTGTCGTCTTACCTTTTCCCGGGACCGTTTGCGCCTTTTGGCTCACGTATATGATAATGTCGCTAGCATCCATATGATAAGGAGCCCGGGCTGACATGACTAGTCGTAAACCCAAAGTGGCACAGACTTACAGGGACAGGCATCCATGACCCAGCTTCGAACGTGTCGGTCATCAGCAAGTGGGTCCGGGCTGTAGCACTGGGCTAACAGGACTCCGGTAAACCGGGCTGTAGCGGGCTAACAGGACTCCGATACTCAAAGCGTGACATTTCCCCGAAGGGACAGACACCGGAACAAAGAAGGACACATGCCGGCCAGCCTAAGTGTTCCAGAGCAGTAGCAAGCTACCATGGCTCAGCGGTAACACTAGGAGACATTTCCCGGTAAGAGAGGCTACTAAAGATAAACAACTAGATAGTCAGATCCCACACATATCAAGCATTTCAATCATACACACAATATACTCGATATGTGCAAATACAACGAAGCATCACAACATGACTCTACGACACAAGTACTTTATTTAAGGCTCAGTGAGCCATACATAACATACACAAAGGTACGGGTCTCACGACCCAACATACAAGTCATACAGTCATACAAACCAGCAGCGGAAGTAACTTGTCTGAGTACAGACAACTAGTAAAATAAAAGAGGCTTGGAAAGCCTAGCTATACTACGTGGTCCTTCACAAGCTCAGGGTCACCACCTGGGTCTTTAGCCTACTCGTTGATGTCAACGTCTACATAGAACCCATCAGAAGGGGTTGCCGCGTCTTCTGTAAAAATGTAGATTATAGCAACATGAGTACAAAGGTACTCAGCAAGACTTACATCAGATCCTACATACATGCATAGTATCAAGAAGGGTTGGTGGAGTTATTGCAGCAAGCCAGCTTTGACTCTTGGCTAGGCTATCCTACGATACTCCAACTGAAATGGTTTTGCGCACACGAGTCCACTACTCACCACTTCAATACACTACCGAGGATCCACCTCCGTCTTCCTACGGAAGAGCCATCCTCGGCAATCACACTTATCTTGAGGCTTTTAGTAGTTTCCATTTACTTGTCTATGAACTGTATAGGCAACCAAGTAGTCCTTTACCGCGGACGCGGCTATTCGAATAGATCATGTTAACCCTGCAGGGGTGTACTTCTTCATACATGTTTCCACCACTTAGCGTCTGCACACGACATGTGCTCGGCAGACTTCAAGCGAAAGCCGACGTGGGTGTAGACCACGACCTACCTAAACACTTAAGCCTCTAGTCCAGGTTTATCGCCTATTCAGGTTCCATCCGCAGGGAGTCCGGCCGAGGTTTCCCATACGGCCCCGAACGATGTGAACAGGGTTCCCGAGATACCTAACGGGTATTCGGTACACCGTGCCACGTACCTACCGCATCACAGCCCACCCCTATGGTCAGCGCTGTCCACGGCCTCCAGTAGGCTACAAACACCAGAAACTACTTGCAACTCCTGGACAGAGAGCTAGGGTGAATAAGAAGTCGAGCGGGGTCATATTTCAGGGCCCAATGCATGGTAGTAGCTGTATCTTAAATCACATATACAGATCTCAGTGCTTAAGGTCGGCTTCAATGAAACAACCCACCATGTACTCCTACATGGCCTCTCATCGATACCTTTACCAAATCGTGTTCACCACACCACTCTTATTACCGACATAATCATTTCACTCCAGCCCATCACCCAGATGAACCAGACCTGACACGACTCTAAGCATAGCAGGCATAGCAAGGTAGGAACAACACATACATAGGGCTCAATCAACTCCTACACATGCTAGTGGGTTTCATCTAGTTACTGTGGCAATGACAGGTCATGCAGAGGAAATGGGTTCAACTACCGTAGCACACAGCAGTTTGAATCGCGTTGTCTTAATGCAGTAAAAGAGAGCAGGAGCGAGAACATGGGATTGTATCGATATGATCAAATGGTTGGTTGCTTGCCTGATGGTTCGATGCACTGATACGGTTCTTCGTTAGGGTAATCACGGTATTCCTCGGGGGCAGAACCTGTCGCAAAGGACATCGATACACAAGCATCACCAAACAATGTGCAACAATATGATGCATGCATGAAACATGGCAATATGAGTGTGTTGGGCTAATGCAACTAAAACCAGAGGGGTTTGAACAAATTTGAATCAAAGATTCAAATTTCAAACTCAAACATGGCCTTTTAAAGTGCTTTTCCTTGTTCTGCTTAAAACATCAATTTAACTTGTTTGATCATGCATGAAAACAGTACAGATGGATAGATTGGATTTTTCTGATCATTTTTCATATATAATTTGTCCAATTTGGAGTTACAGAATAAAAGTTATGAATTTTTGAAGTTTAAATAATATTCTGGAATTTCCTGATTTAATTTAAATTCAGAAAATCAATTACTGCGTCAGCCTGACGTCAGTGTGACGTCAGCAGGTCAACGGAACAGTTCTGGGTCAAACCTGACAGTGGGTCCCGCATGTCAGGGTGATTATTTTAATTAAAATTTA